ATTTTAATAATATCAATTCTTCCACTTCATGAATATGGGATGGCTTTCCATTTTTGGGTGGCTTCTTCCATTTCTTCCATCAATGTTTTATAGTTTTCTTTGTAGACACCTTTTATCCTAGGTATTTTTTATCTAGCTATATTATAAATGGGATTGCTTTCTTGAATTCTTTTTTCATCTAATTCATTGTTGGTGTATAGAAACCCTACTGGGTTTTGTAGGTCGATTTTGTATCCTAGAACTTTACTGAATTTTTTAATCAATTCTATGAGTTTTTTGGTAGAGTCTTCACAAATTTCTATGTATAAGATCATGTTATCTGAAAACAGAGACAATTATTTGATTTCCTCCTTTATAAGTTGGATGTCCTTTATTTCTCTCTTTTTTCTAATTGCTCTGCCTAGGACTTCCAGTACTATGTTGAATAACAGTGGTGAGCATGAACATTGGGTCTTGTTTCAGTTGTTAGAGGAAAAGCTTTTAACTTTTCCATATGCAGTGTGATGTTAACTATGGGTTTGTCATACAGGGCCTTTATTGTGTTGAGGTATATTCCTTCTACACCTAATTTAACTTCTTGCAATTGGATTGACAGCTTCCAACTTCTCTATATCCCCAAATACTGTGTATAAAAATGGGAACTCCCCAACTACAAGACTCATTCAAGTGACAGCATCATCAGGAAGACAATTTCTATCAAGAGCAAAGAGGGGAAGTGAATTTTATGGTTCATTATGTAAATAATCCTCAATTTGGTTTATGTGGGAATTATTCTATACTTTAAACATATGTATACACGTGTATGTGTATGTATAATTCTTTTTATTATACATTACAGACTTTATTCTAACAAAAACTTTCAACATGGGAAGCTTTCAGGCATAAATAAATTCATTTTCATTTAAGAAAAAATATGTAAATAAATAGTTCACGTTTATTAGAAGAGGGCAGGTTGTAAAAGGAATAATGTTTTTTGTTAAAGACTCAATGAAACCCTGAAATTGACAGTTGTTTATTTATTCCCACTTCAAGCAAAGCATTGGGCAAGTGACATTGATTCCGTGTTCCTACTTTAATGTTGATTTATTTCAACAGGGAATTCAGAGAGGTGAGTTCCTAGGAAGTCCTTTGTATCAACTGCCAAAGTTGCTCGTAATGCTGAGGAACTGTTTGTAGACTTGGGAACTTAGTTTGTAAAGATTAAGCTAAGGAGATTGGTAACCTCACCTTGTTTCCACAGATGTATCTGACTGCCCTGAATGATTGACCTTCAACTGCCTAGGAGCTTTGTGTCCCACCCAATTCACCACCTTTCTCAGAATCACCGCATGACTATAAACATAGCAGTTCTTTTCACTGTGGTTTGTGAATCTTAACTAAATTACTTCCTGAAGGATATATGGAGTTAAGATGAGTCATTTAAAAATGTCAGAATGATTAACACCTTCCTTTGACGGTTTTTTTCAATGAATTCAGATGAAATATGTTGAGTGTGAGCATAATGGTGATTCCTACAGTTGCACGGCAGAATATGCTGGAAAGGAAACATTTCCTTTACTACATTTAACAGTATATAATATAAATATATTATTTCGATTACTCCTAGATCAGAAATCTAAGCATTAGTGATGATATTGTGTCTGTTCTATGGATAAATAAGGCATATTTTTTGCTTTAAATGCTTATGTGGTAGGAGTAGCCACATAAATAGATAATTACAAAATAATGTGATAAATGCAATGTGCCATAGGAGAATTTAACTCAATTTGGGCATGTCAGGGAAGACTTTCTAGAAAGGGACCTCAGCTGAGTGGATGACAGCCAATCCCACACACTGTGCACTATTTATTTACATGTTTTTTTCTCCCAGACAGATTTTGCTCTTTAGTTCACTGACCTCATTTTCTATGAATCACAGTCCCTCCATCTGGAGACAGGGACAAAGAACTAGCTTTTTTAGTGTGTGTAAAGCAAGCATTACATCCCACTGCCATAGATGCAATATTTTTGATGAAGGTCAGGCGCTTGCTTTCTTCAGAAATAAGTCAGGTAATCTCTGCAAAGACTTTAATCTTTGAGCCTGTGCTTATTAAATAGTCTCCATAGTGCTGTAGTAATTGAAAGAAAGTTATAGCCTTAATGAGAATTTGTCTAGACTGGTGCATGGTAACTGAAAGAAAACTTAGTGAATTTAAATGATGTGTGTTTGGTACAGTGGAAAGTAATTTAGGAGTCAATTTATTAAAAAGGCACTGTAGTCTCTCAAGATTATTTATGCAGATAGGGTACAAAATGCAATTCCCCACAGATTCTAGTAAATCATACAAGGCCTATTTCATTAGCCTTTCCTTTTTTTATATTAAACATTTTTACTCCCTGCCATTTATAGGAGGCTTAAGTAAAAAGTACTTTGAATAGCATTTTCACGTCTTGGATCAAAGTGTGAAAGAAAACAGTTTATACTGATGCAAGAATATATGTTAAAGAAACATAGAATAGTGATTTTTAAATGATATTTCCCAGGAAAGAGCATGATACTGTTACTAACCCACTATATAAACGATGCAGGTGATTGGCCTTGCTGAGCCATTAGAGTCTAGGAAAGGCCATTAGCTCTGTAAAACTTTACAGAATTTAGGAAATACTGATGTCCTAAAAATACAGTTAATTATTTGTGTCTTAATAAGGTGGCCTATGAGAAGTTGGTGTTAAATTTTAAATCCCATAATAGTACTGGGCAAGATATCTTCATTTTACATATCAGAAACATCAAGTTAGGCCTTCTATTCCCAAACACAAATAAGAAATGAAATGACTTCAGTGTTCTTCCATTGCA